ATTTTTTTGGGGGGGATCAAACTGTTAACACCGTGTGTCCCAACCAGACACGACGCGATAAAAAGTATCTTTTCCTTGTAGTTTTTGTCCTAACCACCCGCGACAGCGACACGTGACAATAAGCAGCATGGGATTCTATTTTAGGAACGTTTTTTATTTTGTATTTTATTTGTATTGTCACGATGCAAGTTAATGTAGCTTTCTGATGCTGCGTTTGAATTTTCATGCCACATTATTTGAAATTAGCGCAGGCCACCTATTGAGGAACCCTGATCTATACTCTTGCACAAAGTCAAATATTTTTTGAAAGCATTTTAATTAAACCTTAATTTAGTAAAAAAAAAATTATGTTTAACTAATACATTTTAAAATTGCTCTTGCAATCAAGGACTGCAAAATGTAATTACTACTGGTATCGACAACTGAAATGCTGGTATTTTGACAACCCCAATAGTGCAGCTATGAAGTCTACACATACATCTCTGTAACCTTCAAGATGAATGTAATACAGCTTGAATCATGAATTAATCATCTTCAACAATAAGAAAAAAACATGAAAACCATTAAAGGTTAGTCCTTGGGCAAAAAACAAACCCTCTTCAAACTGACAAGTGTTGAGTGGGTGGGTATTATTAACTGTCTGAAGTCGCTTATTTTTACTGTGACACTTGAAGCGTCATAGATAATGGATAGAAGAGGCCTATAAATATTAGAGCCAAAGTCTAAGCACATTAAGAAGACTGAGTGATTGAGAGAGCATGACGAAATGAGTGACGCAGCTCTTGAATTCCAGACTTTTCAGTTTGTTTTGGGCTGGCACCAGTGTTGAGGTCTAATGGAGCATGTCTGACTGCATTTCAGCCCACTGATCGCATCATTGAGTCAGGAAGTGAAAAGGAAGGATAAATGGATGGGAGGCCACTGATAAATATAGCAGCGCCACAAAAATGACAGAAAAGTGACGTGGCCTCACATTTTCACATTACGTCACTCACTATAATGGTTAAATGTTACCTATAACAGCCCAAACCAACACCTTTAAAGTGGGACAGTAGTGCAGGAATTTCAGGTATTTGCCAACATGAGAAAACCTAAACTATGTTGTATAGGCCTATAATTTTTGATATTTTGTTCACATATTGCATATATGAAGTCATTTTGGCACTGATTTCAGGCTTATTCAGTTGTATGAATAATACAAATGATGCATCTTGTCTTATGATAGGTTTTCATCAAGTTTCAAATAAAAAAATTAATCAGATGTGATGAATTTAATTTACTGGATTATCCAAAAAATGCATTCAATTTAAATTCAAAGAATAGTTACAGTGTTCTATTGCAACACAGGACAGGAAGTTATTTTATATTGCAAGATTTTTTACAGATTTTATCCCCACCCCTAGAATATAAATATAGAATACCAATACACAACCACATACCTAAACAACATAAAAATTTAAACACTAGGACTTATAGTCTGAGTTTCCTCTAAGTGCCTCTACATTATTTATTGACTAACAGAAATAAATAAAAACACCACGGTGCTATTATTAAACTAATATCTTTAAAAGCATATTAAAAACTGGCATTCCCCAGCATGCCCAGAGTAATTTTCTACAGTACATGTGCCACCACTGGGTAAAATCTCATATGTGAAGAGCCATCAAAGCTCCTTGTTGAACAACAAGGACCAGGATTTACCTCAAGTCTACATTTATCAGGATAATTATACTTTTTTTTCCTTCCACCTTTAAGTGGAAACACCAAGCTGATGGAAGGAAAGGGAATAACAAGACTTGGTGGTAACTGACTAAAGGAAAATTATAGAAAGTGATTTGAAGAGGACTTGTAGGTGTGGAGATTTGCAGGCAACACACAATATGGTCTCAAGTGCCGATGCAACACAAGTGTGGCTGTGCATTCATAAAAACAAATCTAGTCTCAAACTGAGCCTAATATTGCACATTCATTTTCAGTACTGCGTCCCAAAATGCCTTATACCAAGGATAATTTGCCAGTTAACAAGAAGACCAGCAATAAACCCATGTTGGTTTAAGGAACAGAGGGAGTTTGAAAAAAAGCATAGTTTTGTGAAGAAATCATATTCAATTTAAACTCCATACTGTTTTTATTTCAAGAATGACAAAAAGAATACCAAAATTACCTCACCTACATGTAAAAATGGATCAGCTTTGATGGTAATATAAACCCAAGTCATTTATTTATTACTCAAGTCCCTGGAATACTTTAATCTGATTGGTCAATCAAATGTCAAATATTTATGAAGAATGACCACTAAGCCAGAGAAATTGATCTCATGCTGACGTTCAAGTCTTGTATCACTCCACATAGAAAACGTTACAATAAAAAAAGTTAAAAACTTACAATAGCTGACTTGCTAGTATGTACTTTTTGCTAGCTAAAAGCATGCCTAATTATGAGGTAAATCATAGCATATTCTTCAGTCTGTATCATGCAGGTCAGATTATTAACCATCAGGCTATCATCAACCACCACTGAGGCCATTAGCCAAGCTTAAAGGTGAAATGTGCAATTCTTTCCAACGTTAAAATACCCTCTATCACAGTTTAACAGAAACTAGAGCCCCATGATTATGATAAATCAGAATTGTGGATTATTTCCCAATACTGTGATCAATATTATTTGTGATGGACAAAACTGGGAACCACAGTTGTGTTGCTTAATTACTTCATTAAACCATGACAGTGAACTTTACACTGGCCTGCTTAAAGGGGTCATATGATGCGATTTCAATTTTTCCTCTCTTTGGAGTGTTACAAGCTCTTGGTGCATAAAGAAGATCTGTAAAGTTGCAAAGACTAAAGTCTCAAATCCAAAGAAATATTATTTATAAAAGTTAAGAGTCAGCCACCTAAAACGTAAAACGTCAAAATACTGTTCTTTTTAGCAGCATCATATGACCCCTTTAAAGAGCTAGTTCACCCAAAAATGAAAATCTTGTCATCATTTACTCACCCTCATGATGCTCCAAACAACATTTCTTTCTTCTATTGAACACAAAAGAAGGATGGTAATCAAACAGTTGACGGTATCCACAGACTTCCATAGGATTTTTTTTCCCCATACTATGGAAGTCGATGGCTACCAGCAGCTGTTTGGTTACCAACACTATTCAAAATATTATTTTGTGTTCAACAGAACAAAGAAATTTGGAACAACACGGGTTTGGAGCAACATGAGTAAATCATGACACTTTCATTTTTGAGAGAACTATACCTTTAACAGCATGAGTAACAAAACAGCACGACAATAAGAGAATACTCGTATCCCAAAATACAGTAATCGCTGAAGCGGTTACAAGTTTACTGGTTCATGTAACAGTTCAGCATGAGCTCAATGACCGTCTGCGTACAGGGTTATGGACTCCAGCAAATAATCCTTTTATAAGCAATGAAGCTGTTAACCCTCTGGGGTCCGAGGGTGTTTTGGGGCCTGGAAAAGTTTTGACATGCCCTGACATTTGTGCTTTTTTCAGTTGCTTACAAACATTTGAATGTCTAAAGTTTAATAACACTGTAATCAGCACAAACTGGGCTACAATAATATGCAAGCAGCATGTATGTACGTGATTTTTGAGAAAACAACGTTTATGCGTGCTTAGTGAAAAACTACAATTTTAAAGTCACTGAAATAAGGCCATAAAACACATACAGAACATTTGTTCACAATACTTTTGAGAACTGATCTTGAAGTCTAGAGTTTTTGCTTCAAAATTATGTGAAAATCATCTTACTCATTCACAGAAAACAATATATTGATTTAAATTTTCTAAGACACTTTTTGTGTAGAAAAGGTATATGCGAGTAGGCGTGAATGATCATGAATAATGCTGTGATTCACACCTGAGAAGACAAAGGCCTGCATAATGAGCTGCATAATGAGCCTTTCAGTCAGGTGTGTGACTGAGAGGGAATTACTACAAGAAAGAATGTGAGGAAAAAAGAAATTTATATATTTTTTGTTTGTAGTTTATTTAGAATACATATAACTATCACATAAAATAACTCATGGGAGTGTGTGCATCACATGGTCTTAGCTGTGGTCCAGGTTCTTGTGCAGGCAGGAATCTCAGAGCCTGTGGAACATGTCAACGTCAGTCTCTGGTTTCCATGACCAAGTGGGCTGCTTTGCTTTGGCTCTCTTTGCAACAGGTTCTTTTACACTGTTATTCTCACATCTAAAATAAAAAAGCAGGCATGCTGTTTACACAAACTACATGATTAACATTATGATGTTCACTGATACTAGTACTAATTTAGCTTTCTATAGATATATCTCTCATGTGTGTGTCAAATATTCGCTGAGTTTCAGTTAATTTTAGTGACGCGTTTCAAACAGATATGCGCGGAGAATGAGACGGCTAAAAGCACACCCTGTTTATTTTCTTTATTTTGCAAAAGCACAATGTTTTGTTGATATTGTGAGTGTACACAAATAAAAGTAGACCCTTTACAGATTTAAATGCTGTATTACTCTTATATGTACGGTCAAGTATGAAGGAGCATTTTAGTTCTTTTCGCTGTCATCATTCAAATCTGCAAAAAGTTCCGCTGGCGGAACTGTCGACCCCAGGGGGTTAAACAGCACAGGCAAACTGTCAAAGCACCTGAAACAACAACCCACGATCCTTAACAGGCTCTCAGAAATTCCTATGAATTGGTCACAGAGCACTTCATAGGAATTTCTCAACAGAGAGATGGTCACGGAGCACTTATCCAGTTAATTGTGGATTCTTTTTACTATTAATCTTCATATTGTTTTAATTAATATTGTTGCACTTCTACTGTAAACATGTTTTAGATACTAGAATCTTGCACAAAATGAAAGTATCACCTGGAGGTTATGCCTCTCTAGTCTCATCTCCAGAATGTTGTTTTGCTCTTCCAGCTGCTGACGTTCTGACTCCAATTCCTCAATCTTCTGCCTGAGAAAAACAAACACATACACCTATACATATACATATACATATACTATGTCATTTCTAGTCCAAGCATAATGAAAACCATTGTCAAAAATGTTAATCTCAAAAATACTCAACATCTGTTTTTCAGAAAAGCATGGAGGAACACGGCCATAACAACAATAATAATGTTCCACCATGAAGAGGTAAATAAAGGTAAACACAACAGGTTCTTCTGAAGTTTGATCGCAGAGTAAAACATTCTATAAATAAGTGGGGTTCAAAATTCTGAGAGCACACCGACAATTTGGGATTCAAAATCAAATTACTTAATAGTACATAAATAGTCATTAATTAAAAACTTGTTAACTTAGATGGTGTTAAATTAAATACTTAAAATTTAAGAGCATTCCATTGTTGTAATCAAATAAATGTGACAAATCATGAGCAAAAGGACATATCAAATACTATGAAATTCAGAAATTAGTTAATATTCAATATCAATTTTCACATTTTAACTCAAATTGATATGCCTGTAAAATAACTTGTAATTAAAAAAAGAAAAGTAAAATAGAAGGATTTTCACTAGTGGTCTTGGATATTTAGTAAGACCTTTTTGAACTCTTACTCTTGAATATTCTGTATAATTTCTCAGAAAGTAATTTGGTAAGCATTCAGGTTGGTTTAGTTTTGGTTTTGAAGATTACCATGTGGGGTCTTAGACTTGTATACAGTACAACAAATATTCAAATAAGGTGCAAACAGCTTAGTGAAATGGTTCCAGGAGTGATTAAATTAAATTCTATAGAGAATAATTACAGGATCAAAAAGAAAGAGGAAAAAGGAGAAAGTAGGCACTGAATGAAAGCTCACTTTTCAAGCAAGGCCACAAAAGCTAATGTAGTATAATCACATTTCCATAGTAATTAGGCAATGCAACAGGCCATGAAAAAAAAAACACAGACTTCAGTTTCTATCAGTCTAAACACCAGCGACTTAAAGTGACATGAACATTTCAATAAGAGCTTGCTATTTTCAGCGACATGAGTGGTAGCGACTGTTGGTTATCTATGGAAGCCTCAACCACAAAATCACGCAATGAATAAATCACCAATGTGACTTCATTACTTTTATTTTATTTATTAATTTTACTCAGAAACAGGCTTCCATAATGATCAGATCAGACATGTATGACGCAAGTATGATATTTCATTTCTCACATATCTCTGTTACCTGAGAGAGCTGACTTCCTCCGCTGTTGCTAAGGTGTTTTTCTCTGCATTAGATACCTGCTGCTCTTTCAGTGCCTCAAGTTCAGTAGTCACCTGAGCAAGTGATTAAAAAAAGTAATAAAAGTCAAAATGATTGGCACTGTATGCCAAAAACAGTAATTTACTGTAAATCCCAGCAAATGAAACACCTGCAGCCTAGAGGCAATGTTATTTCTGTATTTCTGTCTAATATCTTGACTTCTGCCTTATGTGGTTTTCCATTTCTTGCATGCATTATAGCACAAATTTTAATCAATTATTTATGATCAGAACGGTAGCTGACAATCGTATAAATGCCAAAAGGAAGTTCCCATGGTGATGAATGTGACTTACCATCTGAGCTTGTAATTTGAAGCTGCCTGCCTCCTCCTGGGCTTTAGACAGTTGAGTCTATCAGAGTGAAACAGATTATTCTCATAAAAACAAGAGCCTAGATACTAAACCATAAAGTCCTCGATTACAAAGTCATGAGTGCCATCAATGTCAAGGAAGTTATCCGGATGCAACTTCCAGAATTTTTATAACACCAGCACACTGTTTTTTATAACATAGTATAACTTGAATTTAATTGAACCACACATTTTATAAGTTGAAATCAACCATATAGCCAATATTAACACCTAATAAATGTTAGTCTTATAACATACTGCTTGTTATAAGACTAAAAAGATACATCTTTTTGCTGATGTATCCAAGGAAAAAAACTATATATTAGCCAATAGAGTAGGCGATATAGCTAAAATATATTTAACAATACTTATCATCATTTTGTCCATCGTGGCCAAGCACCTTACATTTAAAAGGTTTACTGTAATAAGCAAATCAAGGCATGTTTTCCACATTGTTTTGCACTAAATGGACAGAGGATTTATATTTATCCCTCCCAATATCAATGCAGAGTCAATGCAATCCAAAGTCAATGCATTAACATATGCGATTAATTCAATTATTTATAAGTCAAACCCAGACAGGAAACAATAAAAAAACTAAAGACATTTGCATTCTTAGTGTGAAGGAATGCAATTATCATTAAAGCTTAAAAAGTGAATTATCACCCATTAGAGAAACTATTCTGTCATTCACAGAAATACAAACACCAGGCCAGAAGCAACATAATCAAATGAGCTACAGAAATATGTATGATTAAAAAAGGCATTTAATAACCGAATAATTTGAGATTTATTGTTCCATGTTTGAATGTAATGCATTATGATACAGCTCGAGGAACACAAAAATTTTTTTTAATGAGATGAGTAAAGAGTGGTGTTGCCTAAATTTATGCCATGAGAATCATCTACACAAATTGCTGAACTAAATAAAATCACACCTAAAGGCCTATTATATCCTTAAAATAAATAAATAGGTTATTGAAAAAAATGAAATGAAAAAAATAAATAAAAAATCACTCAAATCAAATCAAACAAATCACTGAATCAGTGGTCTGAACAGTTTTTTGAAAGGTACATTTAAACGAATTATTTGTTGTGCATTATGGGTAATGTAGTTCTCACCTCCATCTCTGTATTGTGTGTCTGGACTTTCTGCAGCATGTCCTCTGCCTCCTTGACCCGGAGCATGAGCTGAGGAGAGTATTCACTTGTGGCCAGCTCGCTGTCATATGACTCTAATATGGCCCTCATTCCATCGCGCTCCTGACCCACATACAAAAGCACAAGTTTCAATTCCAGAACTCAATTCAGGCCAAGCTGGGTCAGTACAATATAAAGATATCATGTATATAAAACTAGCTGAAACCATAAATGGGCGATGCTGATCTTCATTGTCGGGTGAGCGAGTAAAAAAAAAACAGTTTCCAAATGAAAGAATCTGCTTACTGTCTTAATGCACATTTAATTACAACAGCTTGATTGGGTTTAACTTATTACTGAACTTAATTCACATGCTTTACCGGTCAACCTAATCGATGTATTACATTTTAATTGGCAGACTTCAGTTGTAATGTCATTGTAACGTTCTAAATACAGGAGGAGAGACGCAAGAAATATTAGAGGAGAATTAATGGGGCGAGCTCCCTTCTGAGTCAGAGTCATCTGTGTAAATCTCTAATTTTAGAGTCGATTAAACCAAAATTAAATCTAGTCTAGTCTCTAAAGTCGAAACCAGCAGGATCAATAAAACATTGTGATTCATTATCCAGAGTGTGAACTGAGAATACAAAAACGACCAACAGATTAAAAACAAGCTGACAGGCACATGCTCATATATGCACCCAAACAACAAAGGTTGCTAACGTTAATGCTGAATAACCTTCACTAAAAGACTTTTAATAACATTTTAAAGAAAAAGCTAATGATGTATTTGTGGAGCTTTAGTTAAATTCATCTGATGTAAAAATCAATGTGACTGACGTCAAAGCGTCCATGCAGATATAGCAGTAAATTTGTGAATGTCACACTTCTTCCAAAAAAAAAAAAATAAAAAAAAAAAAAACTTTTTTTTTTTTTTTTTGTGCACTGTGAAATTTTCATGGCATATAAAAAAAAAATATATACAACACTTCTCCTCTAGTGTCTCAATGTAATGGATGGACATTAAGTTTTTGTAATTTGTTATTTCCAAAGGTAATTCTGCAATGCAATATTTTTAAATGTATGAACATGTAATAAAACCATTTCTTTTAACCATTTAAATCATAAAATATAAACAACGTATTTAAACAAATTATTGTGCATTGTTGTAATACAGTAAATGTCCCTTCTCCCTATTAATTTTGGAAAGAAATTATCGATGCATCGATTACAAACCCTGACGATGCATATGCATCGATCTTGAAACATGGATTTTTGAATCGTGAATCGTTGATTTCGTCCAGTAATCGATTTAAAACGCTAAGAATCGAATGAATCGTGATTTCTATAGCGATTCAATGCTTTAAAATATACACATTAAAATGACTACAAGCACGAATTAATGGAGACCTTGAACAGTGTTGTTCGTGCCTCACATCTCTCCTACACACACTCCACTCTTTACCGCCCGTCACAGGATTGCGCTCGCGCTCTGTTCGTAGCTCTCTCAGACACATTTTTTAACCAGCCAATGTGTGATCTCTCCTTAGTACTCATGGCCAGTACTGCTAGAGTAAAGTAGCTTTACTTAGTAAAGTAGTTTTACTCTTCTGTAGTTTTTCAGTGGCTCTCAGTCATACCATTGACATTACCTGTGCGCAATTGGATGGAGCAAAGACAGTGTAAGTGTCTAAAAGCATACGCACAGTTCCATTGAATGATAAATGACTTTTAACTTAATGTCGTTAAACTGAATGTACGAAGGAAACTGTTAAAATAACCACAGCACTGAAATAAGAGCGCAAGGTTGATCTGTCAATCATATGCATAAAATATGCGTTCGTCATTAAAGCAAACAGACATCGGGCGCGTTTTCTTTCAGAATTCAGCATTCGCCGATAGAAAGGAAAAGTTAAATACTGTTGCATTTTATTTTATGAAAATAAGATAAAGCTCACATCATGCAAAGGTGTGACATGTTACCCTACATTGACAGTATGCTACACAATAGTTAACACAAAGTAATACTTTTAAAGCCTTTAAAAAAAAATAAAAAAAATCTTTGCTTACATACTTTCATTCTAAGTATACTACAAAATATACCCTGCAATTGAACTTTTAGGCCCAGTTTCACAGATGGGGCTTAGCCTAAGCCAGGACTAGGCCTTAGTTAAATTAAGATATTTAAGCAGCTTTTATAAAAATGCCTTAGAAAAAAAAAATGTTTCAGGTGTGCATCTTGAGACAGAACAGTGGCAATGACATATTGTAAGATATGTAAGAGCAAGATATTTTTAGTCTGGGACTATAGCCTTAAGCTTTGTCTGTGAAACCAGGGGTAGGTATACTAAACTGGTATACTTAAAGTCTGCTAAATTGGAAAAATCATGTCTGCATTTGTGATCGGAGAAATGACAAAAAACAAGCCCTACTCTACACTGCGCAAAAAACTCGCTTTAAATATATAAAATATAAAAACTCTTTAAATATAAAAAATGTACTTGCAGTCTTTGAGTCAGAACAGCCGGCATTGTAGTCTGCTCTACCAGGATCAGGAAACAGTCCTTCATAAAATGCGCTGCACGCATCTTAATATTTGGGTTTAACTGTTCTGGTGTTGTGAGTGTTGTAAATACAACTTAACCACTGATTTCTAGTCGTGTCCTCCTTTGGAAGGCCAAACAAAGTAGTTTCGCTTTCACAACGAAACACAGCGTCACACACGGCGGGCTAGAGTGAGCGGAGGCCGGAGGCCTAGAGTGAGCAGAAGCCGGCAGCTAGAGTGAGCGGCGGCCGGCAGCCTAGAGTGAGCGGAGGCCTAATCTGATATAGTTAACGTCATCTAATTTTGTGTTTAATGCACTTTAATTGTGTGGAAGTAGTGCTGAAGTCCAACTAAAGACATACTAAAGTATATTTGATTGTGTTAAAGTGGAACTATTGCGAGTATACTTCAGGGACACTTTAATATCTTGCATTTAAAGACCTTTATTATTTAAAGATCATACAATCCTCATTAATTGTGACATTAAAACACCTTTTAGGCTTTATATTAAGAAATGTGCATTGTGCACAAGTAGTACTCCAAATAAAGTTTAATTCGAATTTTTATATCAGTAAGTCTCGAGCAATGTGTCAGTAAATATATTAATAGATTTTAACTATACTTTGTTTGAAATTAATGTATTTAAAGGGGTCATATGATGTTGCTAAAAAGAACATTATTTTGTGTATTTGGTGTAATGACGTGTTTATGCGGTTTAAGGTTAAAAAACACATTTTCCACATACTGTATGTAACCCCCTTGAAATTAGGGTGGTTAATAGGACTTTTAATTTGAAAAAAATATATAGTGACTGGTGTTCTCCACTAGAGGGCGTTTCTCCGTGATGAGCGATATAATTGAGAAAGGAGCCGTTTTACGGATGAGAGTGAGAGCGGAGTTAGAACAAGAGCTTGTAACGCTCCAAAGAGAAAGGAAAAATTGAAATCGCATCATATGACCCCTTTAAAATATATTACTTTTTTACTAGGGAAAATTTCTACACATACGTCATGCCATAGCATCATTAAGCTAACATCTAACAATGGATAAAACTAATTTTTTTGCCCTCACTCTTTGACTCTATAAAGGCAGCTGTGTAAGTAATTTGCCCCCTGACTAAACATATAAAGAATTTAAGGGAAGCATTTAAATAATCCTGTGAATGCACTTAAAGAATGCAGAATCGAATCATTAATCGAATCACATCGAATTTAAATTGTGAATTGTCTCGAATCGAATCGTTCTAAATTTGCAAAAATCGTTCTTGAAATTAAACCCTATGAATTAGGGGTGCTCCGATCAGGATTTTTGGAGAAATGACAAACAACAAGTGCTAATCTACACTGCTCAAAACTCGCGTTTGAATCGTCAGTGGCAAATTCTTTAAATATCAAAAACGTACTTTCAGTCTGTGAGTCAGAACAGCTTTGTGTTCAAACATTGTAGTCTACTCTACCAGGATCAGGAAACAGTCCTCCATAAAATGCGCTGGACACATCTGAATATTTGGGTTG